TAAATAAAAAATACCGAAGTCCTTTGTAAATGATCATTTTTATATTTTCTTTTCGTGAAATATTTTGACCATTTTTACGTATTACATGTGGGTGAATCAAATATATAATAAGTAAAAAACTTTTCTGTTAACTTTAGAAAAGCTCATAGTGACTTGAAAGACGGACAGCAACCGAACAGAGGTCGAAACAAAAAGTGACGATGAGATCAGGTGTCTCGATGTCACACAAAGACTAGCAAAGACATCTACGAAGCTTCTTGTCGCCCAGTGGTGGAACATTATCTAGAAACTGACCTATCAATCCATCATGATACATAGCAATGATCCCAAGACTAAAAGGGGGAAGAATTACCACTTCGTACGTTGATTAGGTGTTCAGACGTGGTTTACCAAGCAGAACTTGATCCCCCGCTTGACATTTATCTACGTTATTTACTGCAAATTTCACGTCAGAGGTCAACGGCCGCTTAGCTTAGTTGGTAAAGCGTATGGGCGCGAAACAGGAAGATGCAGGCTGGAATCCCACAGCACCAAGAGTTTTTCAGTTATCAATTTTAAGTTCACTTTAAAATTCATCTCGAGTGCAAAGACTAGCACTCAAAATTAAAATTAACCCTAAATTCTGCGGTATTATTATTTCGGGCAACCAAACTATACTGTCAATCACTGTTCCCCTAAGATATTAATACCGTGCATACAAAGTTTCGCCTTTATAATATAACAAACTATTCGTAAACCTAAGGATAGCTCATTTTCTCACACACGCCATAGTCAAATATTCAATTGTTCGCTTAACTCGCGGATTTCGCTTAATCGTTGTCTTGGTGAAGGATGATCCTACTTAGCGGACACTGCTGTTGAACATTTTCATCACAAGCGAAAACTGTTAACGTCCTTCCATCTTCCAGCACAACATTCGCGATGACCTTCCCGATCAAAGCAATTGGCAATCATCTCTTTACCTGCACTTGTCCCGTTTTTTACTTTAGTCTTTATTTTATTTGAAAAGGTAGGAAGCGAGCTGACGGTTCACCTGATGTTAAGTCGTAACCGTCGGCCATTGACGTTGGCAACACTCGTAGGATAGCAGATGCGTATAATAAAATGGGCCCCGGCTAGCGGACTCATCAGACGAAACGCAGAAGTATAATAGTTCCACTTCGTGCCGGTCTTTTGTGAGTTCATGGTACTTCCCTGGACGGCCTATTTATGCATCAGCGAACTTTGCATGATTTTAACACAACGTATGTATAGAAATTGTGCTGTCCACATTTTTGCCTTAACTCATTGTTAATTGGTCGAACACGGCCAATGTGTTGACATTGGCCGTGTTTAACCTATCAGACAACAACAGGATGAGCCCTAATGAGTGTTTAGTAGTCTGATGATGGAAGTGGCTAGGCGAAACTATATTATATACTTCCAAATCGAGTTCAATTAACGTTTTTTGTACGTTCCTTCAATGAATCAACATATTTGATGAACGTTCGCGATCAAAGTGATCCAAATTTTGTCGTTTTTCCACAGGCATATACGCATGAAACTTTATTATTGCAAAAGGTACGAGTACTTTTACGTCACCTTTCATTACAAAATCGCCAATCTAGTCTTAATAAGTTTGTGACGGCGACGTCTTTATGTAAAGACGTTGGCCGTATTTCAATAGTGATAATGTAAATAACAGATTGTCAATATATAGTCTCGATTGACCGTTTTTTTAACAGACACCAACAGTTGTTATAGGAGATGACTAATCCACAATGCCCTAATGAATTATAAATTTTCTAAATCAACATTTAAATTTAAATACCGCTTTCAATATTTGAAGTGTAAATAGTAGTTAACGTAAATTTAAAAACAACCAAATTGTGTTTGAGTTTTTTATTGAACAATATTTTCAATTTGATAGGATGTCTTCATGGGGAATGCAAATAATATATTACGGAGTTGAAGTATGAAAGTAAGCTTTACTTAAAACGATGATATTTTAATTTTTCCATCTAGTACTTGATCATTTAATATCTATATTTGCTTAATAAATAAAGCATACCTTACTTACCGAAGACCTCATATCCTAATTGGTGTATTATTTTACAGAGGTTAGATTAATAAAAAGAAATTCACATTATCATATTTCCCGTTTATTTCCACATAATATTTATGAGACATCCATGTTTACGAAGTAAGTCTTGACGAAGCTTAGTTTTATAAATTATTAACTAATATGTACAGTTAAGTTATATACATTCGAATCTTAAATATACATTTTCATAATAGGCATCAATCATTCAATAATCTTTAATAATTATTTATATAAGATAATCTCTCGTAACGTGTTGTCACCCTAGCTGCGGTTATCATGACTATTTTACATCGACGAGAACAAACAGATTTACTATTGCATTTCAAACCAACATAAAACCAATAAAAAATCGAAGTTGCTACCAATTTCTTTGCTAGTTTTTTTTTCGTAAGAATATCAAAAACGATATCAAACTGACCAACCGATGAGCTAAAAATTGTAATATTTAGAAATAACCCTGAATTGTGAAGAACTTAGAAAAATAAATACATTGTTTCATTCACATAGCTAATCCAATTAAAAAAATAAATGTTACCGTCACAAAAAATAATAGAATATTAATTTCGATTGTAAATAAATTTTCGTACATTCTCCATTTAAATTGACTGAATAGAAGAAAAGCAAAGTAACAGCTTATATATGCCCCACTATTGGGAAAAGGCCTTCTCTGTACCGAGGATATTCGGGAATGTTTCACCACGCCACGCGACCTCACCGTAAATTGGCGGACTTCATATATCTTCGAAATATTTTTTTTTATTATTTCGAAGCAGGGTACCTTTGTTTTTTTTTCAACGCTGAGCACGTGATACATACAGCACTTAAAATTGTATTTTTATGTGAACTGGTTCACCTGACGTAAAGTGATAACCGCCACCAATGGACATTTGCAACACCCGTATAGCTGCATGCAGATGCGTTGCCATCTTTTAATGAGATAGTGGGTCACGGGTTTACCAGACGAAACTCAGAAGAAGTAGAATAAACTATTCTACTTCACGCCGGTCTTCTATGACGATCATCCGGGGAAGTGACGGTGTGAAGTATTACTTCCCTGGTCATCCAGGGAAGTAACAATGCGCGAAGACTGCTGCGTGACCCTACCGCATTGCATTTGATCTCAGGTTGCTCGAGAAATAAGAGTACGTAAGTACAGTAAATGTCTGACAAGGTTTTAACATTTAAATCCTGCTTTATTTCCTATTTAGAAAGAATGAGAAATGAAAGATGTGAATACGAATTTTTGTCAGAAGTTAAAGTACACAATTTTAGACATCGATTGGTATACATATTTTGATGAAAGTATATTGAGTATACATTAAAGGCAAATGTAAATAACTTTAACTCTTCCGTAATTCAATTAAAATAAATTTTAAACAATAGAGAAAAATCTCTAATGAATTAATCAACAAGCAGAATTCGGCGGTCGCTTATAGTTTTCAAGAAAAAATATTTAAAACTTGTTATTTTTACCAATAAATCCACCATTTTATTTATTTCACTTCAAAAACTCAATACACAGTTCTGCCAACATGATAAATATAGGAAGCGGGCAACATCATTCTCGTATCGATAGTCCGATTTTTTTTAATTTAATGCGTTACAGAACCGACACAGAGCGAATCCGACTCGGATAGATTAGGTTAGAAGGTTCATTAGTTCCTTAACCTTCGATGTTAGGTTATTTTTTTTTATGACCACCAAGAAATACGAGCAGAATTGACATATTGACAACAAAAAAATGGCGGATTTCTATAGTAAAAATCACACTATTTCATTATTTATTTTTTCGAAAACTATAAGCGACCGCCGAATTCTGCTTGTTGATAAATTCATTAGTGATTTTTCTCTATCGTTTAAAATTTATTTTAATCGAAATACGCCGGAGTTAAAGTTATTTACATTTACCACATTAAAGATACAATTTTTGTGTGTTGAAGTGTATATGATGTTCATATATTGGATACTATAATTAAATATCTTCCCACGATTTGGAAATAGTGCACAAATCTTATATTAGTTGTACGAAATATACAATGTACTAAAGATCATTCCGTCCTTTAATTGGCTGGCAATACTCGTCTAAAAATCATATGAGGTCATCGTCTACTTATCGAATAGTTAATTAACACAAAACAAAACACATCACCAAAAGTTTTAAAGGACGAAATAATTAGAGAATTTACAAATACCATGATTAGAACTACGTCGAAAATTATATACAATATATCACTTATAAATATACAGCACATGTTACACGTAAGCATTTCCGTTGAGACAAAAAATATCCAAAGTAGAATTATTAGTAAATTAATGGAAATTAGGGGACGGGTGTGCTAAATGGAAAATTGATGATAATCAAATGATTTACAATCAAAGAAGCTCACCAATTTAATTACGACTTTACCTATTTCAAGTGTTTCTGAAATAGATCAAGTCATAATTCAATTGATAAAAATATTCCTCCAATATTGAAATTGTTGAAAATTATGAAATTGCTTAATTTGTCCAAGTTTCAGATTATATTAGAATGATTTAAATAAGCAAAGCAAAATTTTCAGAGTTTGGAATACAGAACAAAGATATGTTTTGTATTCAAAATTCTCAAATTTGCACAAATAAGGGAATTTATTTGAAATAAAATTATCAAGTGACGGCTTTGCTACACCAACCACTTAGTACGCTTTACAAATGATTTGATTTCTAATAAAGTATCTAGTCAAGTGCAGTAGCAATTCATAGCCATCCCAATTCATTCGATGCTCTCTGCTCTATTTATACTAATTAAAAGCTGCGGTCACGTTAATTACATGGAATTTTATTTTGTAATTTATTTATACAAACAATCAACGAATATGGTGAAACTTACATCGACGAAATATATACAGTCAGGTGCGAAATAGACGAAAACACGTCATGTCACGTTGATTTCTTCATCAGTGGCGCTGGCGTCGCTGTCAAAGTCGTCGCCGTCGTCCATGTTGCTGTAGTTTTCGCGGGAAAACACCGCACCGGCGGCCATCTTGTCGTCGTAGCGGTAGCCCTCGCCTTGGCTAGAGGAGGCGGCGAAAATTTTGACCTTCTCATCGCTCTCTTCATTCAGAGGCGAGAGAGGCGACATTTTCGACTTGTCCGCCTCCGCGTCGGAGAGGTCGGGGTGGGGGTTGTTCTTGTTGGGGAGGGTCTGCTCCCTGGAGCCGCCAGAGGCCAGGAGCTCCCGCTCCTTCGAGTTTCGCCACTTCATGCGACGGTTCTGGAACCAAATCTTCACCTGCGGACGGATAGAGGCCATTAACAACGAGTAATTTACCTGTACTCTACGAGTATACCTTCACCTACTCTAGGTGACAAATCACAGCACTCGCCATTAACTTTGATGATTCCGTGGCGCATTTGCCAAGGTGTTTGGGTTCGATCCCCACACTGGACAATTATTTGTGTGACCCATAGGTAAAGTTTAGTTGTTTCGCATTTGGGTGTTAGCCCACGTGGAATTTATGACAATAGAACAACACAGGATAAGGCTATCTTAGAGTAAGGGCAATGATTTTAAAATTAAAAAAATAATTAAATAACTAATGAACGCAGGTGCTGTTGTAATTGAGTTTCCAACCTTAAGAATAGGCTCCGGTTGCCTTATTCATAAAAATGCCAAAGTATTAAAAATATTTACGACGCTGGCCATCTGGGGGACCATAAATTAAAGTAAAGTAACAGCCTACATTTATGTCTCATTATTAGGCCTTTGTACAGAGAGTAATATACATTATTCTGTAACAAGGGCACATTATATTGGCTGTAGTAGAGTCGGCGTCAAGTAGAACACTTACTTCTGCGCTTCATCCTTTATCAAAAAGCCACGCATCTGCAACCTTACGGGTGTTGCAATTGTCCATGTGCTGTGGTTATCATTTAACATAAGGTGAACCGCTAGCTCGTTTGCCATCTTTTCACATAAAAAACGCGATCACGATGTTTTTCTTTACTTAAAATTTCCATAATAATTTTATTCGTGTAGGCAATGGGATTTTGGATCGCATGTTGCTCGAGTGTATTGAATTAAAAGCGAACGACCCGACATTGAGTTGTTTAAAAGTCACGTACCAACGTCAATGCAAAATAACAAAGAAAGATAAAATATTTTATGTAATATTAAAGAAACATGTCTATTGTCACCGTGTAATTTTTAAAAGTTGCTTGGTCCCTAATAAATATTATTTTAATTTATTGATGTAATACGTATAAAATAATACTAATATTTCCTCCATATGTTTAGGCATGAGCCGTTATTCGAAGTAAACCCAATATCAAAAAAGTCATAATCGTTAGAATTGTCATCAAAAAGGGCCAGGAACGTTAATAACGAACAGTTATTTTTTTTTGTCCATCAATTTCTCATTTTCATCCATTTTTTGGCAAAAACCGAACAGTTTTTGGAATAAACCGTATCCATTCATTGTGCTCCTGACAACACATTTTATTGATGGTAGAAGGCGTGGCAGAAAGCGGGTGTTTCTATGCCTCTGCAGAACAATAAAACGTTGGCTTATTTTAGCTTTTGACAATGTCTTTTTTTATATCCACGGCACGCGTGGGCAGTTCGATAAATACAGTAATGCATTTCGGTCTCAGATTATCGTTGTCACCATCAATGTAATGTTTTACAGTTAATTATTCCAGTTAATTTAATGTTGTAATTGTTAAGAGAACTTCGTAATAATCATAAACAGTCTTCAAAACATCTATTAAAAACTATATATTTCAATGAAATGTTGCGTCACATAATATTATAATTTGTTATGATTTCATTTTACTTTATTAAATGTCAGTATAAATATAATTGATTGTTTTACTTAGAACTCAACGTTGGCTTAAATATGTTTAAAGTCAAACTCAACGTCAAACCGGCATTTCCATCCCTTTTTTAATTTCTTTTAAACATTTAGCAATAACTATAGCAAAATCGGCGGGAAACATGTTTTAAATTCTGATAATTGATACGTGTGATGCGTTAGAAAAATAAAAACAGCCGAAGGCGTGATATGACCGCAACCGAATGATGAATGACAGGAACGTCCACAAATGAACGGTCGAAATGATGAATCGTACAATGCATCTATTAGCAATTGTCATGTAGTCTGTATATTTTCGCGTGACGTGAATCAATTTCGTGATGTTTTTGTGCAGAATTGTTTTGTTTGGTATTGTGATTTCCTATTTCTTTATTCTTTGATTTTCTTGTTATATCAATTAGCATATCAGTACACAATAATAATGATAATGAGGTAACTGTAAAGTAACGAAGAGTCGCAGAACATTCTTAAAAGCTGCTTAAAAAATTACGTACTGACTGAAACGATGTAAAACAAGAGTTTTTACTGTTTAAGGATATGTGATTTCATTGTTTATGAGAAACATAGACTAGAGTATCCAGTCAGCCAAGCGTCTTGTGATTACTGGTCTAGAGTCTAGACCGGGGATTACCAAAGTCGTCGATATGGGCCCCTTGGGGTTGAAATCGGTTTCCCAGGGGTCGACGTTAACGAAAACTGATATTGGGGGTCGATGAGGTCTAAAAAATAACCCCTTTTAATTAAAGTAATCATTTGAAACTATTAAGAATGACTAATATTTTATTAGGAAGTCTCATTGTTGTGGATTTAATAGGGTTTTATTTTATAAAGCTCTGAGGTATCATTACATTTGGAAAAGAGTTCTCTTGCCTAAAATTGTTTGGGAATCCCTGGTCTAACCTTCTGTAAGCACAACATTACGTAACTACTATCGTTTTAATGTTTTATTTAAAAATTTGTAAACATTAACTTATATAAAAATGTTACACATACAATGTTTGGGAGGATTATGTTGAGGACTAAGACCAAGGTGTATATTTTTCTAGTAAAAATCTTTTGTAACACTTCTCGTATTGTATGATAAAATAATTGTATGAAAAATCAATCATTAATACTTGTAAATAAAGGTGCCCTGATAAATCGCTCACATGTTCACAACCGTTGCAAATGCCATAAACTTGGTTCCGTCTTCAACTCGAGAAATAGAAAAAAAAAAACGAATCGCTGCTAAAAATTAAAAAAAAAGAACATTTGAAACGTAAATGACAAATCGGTGCGCGCGATCCTCCGGAACCAATCGGTTAGTGAGCGTTTCGCGCCTTTGCATCGCGCGCGTCATTTGTCAAATTTTTAAATATCGAACGCCGATCTCTTTGCCATTGTCGCGGATTGAGCCGTCGAGCGGCGTGATCGTGACGCGGCAGAAATTAGAAATCGACGATTGATAATGACATTACGAAAGCGGCAGATGCTGTTGACTCATAAAAAATGGAATACAATTACATCAACGAAATTTCTGTGGTAGTAAAAATTTACGCTCTCTGCTACTTACGATACCAATTTGTTGTTTAAACCTAGAAGCACTACTATCGGGTGTGTCGACACACTTTTAGCAACTGAGATAGTTGAGAGGAGAGCTTTTAAACGGCAAAATACATATGAATATTTACTGGTGGTCGCCCAATGGTTGTGATTTGACCATAGTTAGTTACATTATATTATTTATATTATATTATATATACCATATTATATTATACATGATAGTGTGTATAATGTTTTTTTAAATTGATTTAATGCATTTTTTATGCATAATTTTTTTTTATTAAATTGGCATCACGCGGCATGTGGCACATATGCCACTGACAAAAATGCATAACTTTAAAAACCATTCTGAACTCATAAGTGTGGTCCTCCGACCGCGCATTTTTGTAAAAGAGGTACAAAGTTTTTGCTTCATGTATTAATATAAAGATTTTAAAATTTGTACAAAATTTGTAGAATATAGATTTTGTAATGACATCTAATATTTAACGCCCTATTGCCAAAAGTCGAGTTCCGAACAGCTTACAGAGTAACCATCAACATTGTAAATTTATTAAAAAATATTTAAAAAATGCAGAGGTAAACTGCCGAGAAAACTTCTCTGTGCTGACTTTCTTGTTTTAATTAAAACAACGAAATTCGAGATTTAAAAAAAAAACCTATAATTATACTTGTACGTAATTAAGTAGTCAATTATTTTTTACTCAAAAAATTTTAAGTTTGGGCGGATAATTTCACCACGGTAATGATAGGGTTCTAATTTTTTACACTGTCAGCTCGACAGCAAATACTGCCTCTCAAATATTTTATTCTCTGGCTGGCTAGTGCTAATTGGTGGTATACGCTCTTATTATTAGAAGTCACTTTTAAACTTTTATTAATTTATCTTTTAAAAATTTAATTTTTTTTATAGTGCTATCTCTGCACTTAAGATTGAACATTAAAATTTGTATAAAATGTACGAAAAGAGTGGCTAGAGCATCAGGCCGCGAATGCTGATGACGTGGGTTCGATTCCCTCAGCGGTGACAATCTTTTCGTACTTTTCTACAAATTTTAATTCTCTTTTAAAGGCAAAATTTATTATGCATAAAAACGATCACCTTGAGTCACTAGCGTATTTTTAATTCTGCCCAATCGTCGAAAGTGAAAATATACCCGTCAATCGCGACATACCTACGTACAATAAAGATTTTTTTTGTTGATAATATAACTTCATTCTGACATTGCACATTGTATCGCATCTGGTTGTCTGTCCGCGTGAAATTTATGTATGTAAATCGTCCTTACAACACAGGATAATGATATCCTAAAGTAAGGAAAATGTTTAAAAAAAATTGGCAAAATTCTATATTCATTAATGGAAGAAGAAGAATGAAACTGTTTCAGGTATAGTATGGCATTTGCAACATACTGGCTGGAATACGTCACTATAAGTTTTTTCGTGTTGATCGGAATACAAGTCCATTTTTTTACTAACGAAAAAACCGACTTCAAATATCTCACCCTGTATTCATATTATAATTGATTTTCAGGAGCTCTTTAAGTATCTCCACCTAATCATCAAAATCGGTTCACTCGGCCAAAAGTTTTAAGATAACAAACCTCCTACTTTTTTGAATGGAGTCGGTTGAAATATAATTGTAAATAACCAGCCCAGGCGAATCCGGCTTGTCCCATGCCAAAACGTGCAGTTCTCAACTTCAGGGATTGAATATAAAATTGGACAATAACAACATCCAGTAATCCCCGTTCGTCGCGATATTACAATTTATCACCGGCACGAAACAAGTGCGTGCTCGGAGATTATCCGTCTTGACCGCGGCGGATTTGGCGGCACGTTTCCCTGAAGGGCCGCGACAATACGCCGCCGGCAG